CCTTCGGTTTGCCTTCTGATACCCGTGATGTCTATTCCCAGAGATAGTATTGCTGCTATGAGTGATAAATCTGTGCTCCTTAAGCACTCCTCGGGCTTGCTTTCCACCCACCCTCTATTCTCCCCACTTTATTTTTCCCATTAGTCTGAAAATAAATAAATATATATATACACACAGAGTTAGAATTGATGTATTGATTGCTTTTTTTCTCCTCTTTTAGTTTAGCAGATGATATAAATGCCGAATCTGATCAGGATGGGAAGCTTGCATGCTAGGGAATTTGTTATCCCAGCAGATGATGGGAAAATATCTGCCAAAGGTTGGTGGAGCCTTGGTCAGGGCTGTCACCAAAGCCTAGCTCTGTGGGCACTGTTGAACTGATGGAGTTCTGGGCATCTTGCTGGATGTGAAGTGAGAAAGAGCTGTCTTGAAGAGACCTTACAGTCCTTAAGATTTTAATAAATAAATAAGATTTTATTTTATTTAGTGCCGTTTCTGGCACTCATAGCTCTAAGGAGATAGAAGGAAGGGCAGGAGAAGGAGCTGGCGTTTTGAAAGGAATGGGAAGTAAAAATAGCTTTTCTAACCAAGTTTTGAGAGTTGATCCGTACAGAGCAAAGCCGTGCTGCAAGGGGGCTCTTCCATGAACACGGCCAGCTTAGGCTTTCAGCGTTCAGTGAGTCACTGGTGCTGCGGGAGAACGTGGCATGCGACCGGGGAGCACAAAGATCCTCTTGTTCTGCCTGCAGCAGCGAGCCCTGCGAAACGAGAGTTTCATGAAGAATGTGCATTTCTTTAATTTTTTGTCATTTGAGGAATTTGATTGTGAGCAGCAGGGAAAATGACTTTATTTACATATTTTTTAAGCAAGCAAACAAATTACTTAGTGCTGGTACATACTTCCAGCTGGAAACTTTAGGTTCTCAGCACCTAGTTTCTTAATGTTCTTCCCTTCCATCTTTAAGTTTGGAGGATCTAGCTTACATTCACCCTCAAATATTAAAATCATCTTGGTAGAAGATTTTTTTTCAAAAAAAAAAGTATATATTCTTAAGATAGCCTGGATCTGATGGCCATCGTGAGAACATGCAGGCCACTCTCACGAGCTAAAGAAGGAGCTGGAGGTCTTGGAGCTTGGCAGATGTTGGCCAAGTCTCACATCAGGCGTCTGTAGCGTGCAAGGAGGGACGCCTGTGATAAAACGTTTTTCCTTTTAAGCCTTAGATGCAGGAAGCTTTCCGATTTAAACATCGGCTTCAGTTTATTCCTTGGCTCACCCGCTGCAGTGTGTTTGATCTCGCTCGCTCGCCGACGCCGTAAGCGGCACGTGCGTGTGTGTGCGCAAGATGTGGCGCTGCCTTTGATCCCCGGGAGCTTGTTGTGGTGTCGCGCGAGCTGTTTTCATTGTGCCTTGTGTGCTGATTTTGATGAGTGTTGCGGAGCTGCTGGAGCGGTCATGGAGCAGGGCAGGCTTGAGAGAGTGCTAGGAAGTCTGTGGATGATGGGAGATGCTTCCAAGTGCACAGAGGGGTTTGGGAAACAAAGCATTCCCGGGAAGAGAGCGAGGCGGTCCAGTGCAGAGCACAGATGAGCTGGTGTGAGGGTCTACAGCAAGTCCATGTGTTCCAGAGAACCTGCTGTGAGAAGGACTTCCCAGGTGAGGTTAGAGCAGAGCAGAGGTATCTGCTAATGAGCTTGGTTAAAAATCAATCAAGGCAATGGAAAGGAGACCTCCTGGAGGCAAGATGTGTGCTGTGCGTCGTACACATCTCAGAGCATTCCCCTTTTCACATAAGCATGAGTTGGAGGCAGCGCGTTGCCCTCAGGTTGCACGTGGTCATCACCGCTCTTCTTCTAGCCACCCTAATAAATACAGGGTTGAAGCGTTCTCAGCGTGCAGCCTCTGAGCATCGTTGGTGATGTGTTCTCAGTTGCACTGTGGGCTTTGGGAGGAAGAGAGGCTCTCGGAGAGACTTAAATGCTCTGCTGCACAGGAATGGAGGTGAGCGTGGAGCTAAGGACTTCCTTGAGCCACAGGCCTGTGATTGCAATGAGCAAACCCTGAGCAGGAGCTCAGGATCTGAGCAGCATTGCTCTAGCAATGCTCCGTTGAATAAATGGAAAATAAGGGAAAAGAAAATTGTTCCCTAAGGCAACAAACCGCAGTGGAGTCTTTTTTTTTGGCCTTACTTTATTTCTGGCCAGTAACCTCTGAAAATCCTCAGATTTTGTGCTTTGATACCCACATATGGAAAGGAGGGTGGACACCAGGCCACCGTGAGAGTCTCATAGAGTCTCCCATCTGGTCAGAGCCCCCTTGGGACCTCATGCTCTGCCAAGAGGAGGTCAAAGGAGCTGCCCTTGCTTAGCCAGAAGAGAAGGTCATGGGGAGACCTGTCCCCAGCCTGCACCAACCTGTGAGGAAGTTCTCCAGAAGATGAGGAGGATGTGAGGCACAGGCCTGAGCTGAGGCAGGGACCTTCTACCTTCGTGTAAGGAGAGCAAGTCACTGAATGGTACGTGGGACAAAATGCTCTGCTCCCTCTATGCTGTTGTGAGCCCAGCGTGTCAACATGGGTAGTCAAGGGATTATCAGGATTTGCTGGTATAACCGAGAGAAGAAATTGGCTTACACGGAGCCAACGGATTTGCAAATGAGATCCATGTGTAAATGGGCCTGCCTGCCCCGCGTGTATATTCTACATCTGCTCCTTTGCCGGGAGTGTCACCCAGTTCTCGATGCATCAAGCCAGAGTTCCTAAGAACAAGTGCAGAAGAAGTCGAGATCTGGGCCACACCCTCTTAGGAGCTGCCCGAGTCCTACGCATAGAGGGGAGGACTTCTCTCGTGGACTTCCCTGTTGGCCCCGTGTCAGAAGGCATCTCTTCGTTAGAGAGGCTCTAATGAAGCAGGGAACGACAGTTCTTGCCTATAAAACCCTGTATGACCGTAAGGACACGATGCCCTTCTTTATTGTGCCCTCCTCTGGCATTATGTAGAAATGACTTTGGTGTGTGTGTGTATATATATATATATTTAATTGCATGATTTGTATTGGGCCACTTAATTACACTGATTGACATTAGGAAAAATCACTATGGGGAAGGGAGATGCTTCTGCATTGTCACCTTCTCACCAGGAGGCAGGTTTTTCTTGGATTTATGTGTTAGCAGCGCTGATCTGTTTCCAATATTGTCAGATGGAAGAGGCAGAGGGAGAGAGTGCAAGAGATGTGGTCTAGAGTGAGTTTTATGTAAATCACAGAAATTTGTATGAAGTCTAGACTTTGGGAAATGAAAAAGAAAAAGCAAGAAGTCGCCCACTCTGTTAAAACAAAACTGAAAAGAAACAATAAAAACTACCAAAACCAACCAAAAAAAAAAAAAAAAAAAAAAAAAACCCTTTTAAGTAAAGGCAACAGAAGACATTCACTATAAAGTACATAGACCTGCTTATGTTCTCAAATGCTGGGAGGATTTCAATTTGCTTGTTAGAAAACTTAAAACCTTTCTGCTCTGTGGGCTGCATGTTTCAAAGCGCTACTAAGGTCTGTAATGGAACAAAATTCCAAGATTTTTGTCGTGCACTTGTTTTTGGTTTGGAACAAAGCTTTTTTGGGGGCAAGCACAATAACTGCACCTTAATCGCCATCATTGCTGCTGTTGTGTGGAATCTTGTGTACCCCGAATTCATGAGCATCTGCAGACTGTGATAGCCTTGGTGGTGGGAGCTATAGGTTATGCTTCAGCTTTTTCCAATTCCAGCTCCTCGGAAAACGTAGGAGAAAGCACCTACTGGATTAATGGCAGATAAGAGCAAAATGTTGACAGGATGATAATAATAATCAATAACAAATGATGCTATGTTATCTTGATGTTCTTGCTTCAGGTCCGTGCAATAAGGCAGCTCTGTGTGTCTTGATGGTGATGGAGGCTCGGATGAGGGAGGATTTTCTTTTTTTTCCCCCACCAATTAAACTGAGCTCAGAAGAATAAAAAAGAAATTGTGGGGGTAGGGGATTATTATTCCTTTGGTGGGAATTTAACTTGATCTCAGTGCAATAACTGGAAAATCTGGGGGTGTTTGAAAGCAATCTAGAACAAGCCACCTTTTTTTTTTTTAATAGTTCCAGGCTTTATTAAAATAGGTGTGAACCTGTCACGGATGATGGATTCCTTGTTGCAGATTATAGGGTGGCCAAAAGCAGCCAGGCACTGCTGGCACCATAACACTGCTCCGTGATTGATGCGTGCCCGAGCGCTGCGACACAGTTCGGGATAATAATGTGGACCAGAGATTCATAAAAGAGAGGAGAAGGAGCCTATACTTACGAATTACTTACTGCTTTCTGGCTTGTGCAGCCAACCCATTGCACAGTGCACGTGATTTGGAAAGGGGCACCTCTGAATCCTCCTCTCTTTTGGTTTTTAATCTGATTTTTAATCCATCGAGCAAGGTCTCGTGCATGGGGATTGAGAGGGGGCTTTGACGGCCCTCCGATGGACTCCCCTTTGCAAGCCAGCTGCCCGGAGAGCAGTAAATCTGTCTCGGGTGATTTGTAGCTCCCATTGCTGATACCTGGAAAGCTTCAACTGTGCAGTGGGGTCTGCAGAGCTGCTCCGTGGCTGTAGAGGCTGCAGCCTCCCCCTTTGCAGCCCTGCGGTCGGTACCAGGCACTCCCAACTCCAGCATGTGTTTTTTCCCATTGCTCCTTACGATTGCTGTGCAATGCTCAGCCTTCTCTTACGTGAGCTCCATGAAGTTAAATACATGGATTTGTGGTTTTTCTTTTTTTCTTTTGCTTCTCTCTCCATTTTGTCACAAATGATGAGGATTTATGACGTGATCTCATCCATCGGATGCACCAGAGTGAAACAAGCCTGGTTCAGAGCTTTGCCCGGAATGAAATATGAGCCTTGGATACGTGAGCTTAAGAAATGAACCCATTTTAATGCAAGCTGTGCGTCGTTTCCAATCACCTTTTCCTTTCTTCTTTTCAGGCTGTGACTGTGCGGAATTCCATGGCTAAATCCTTGTACAGCGCCCTGTTTGACTGGATCGTTTTTAGGATTAACCACGCGCTTCTGAATTCCAAGGACATGGAGGAAAACACCAAGGTAGTGTGTCAAGTCTCTTGCCAGCTATTTAGTTTTAAATTATTCTGATTAATTTAGTTAGTTTTGCAACGTGTTTCTGCTTTACAGTGTGTAACCAAGGAGTAAAATGTGGAATAAGCTGCAAACAGCAAATTGCTTAACGCGAAGCACGCTTGTTATCTCGCGAAACATTGCTGTTAATATTGCAGAAGGAGCGTGTAATTGTTTTAAGTGATGCTTTCTGGAGCCAGGAGTAGTGAACGACCTCAAATAATATCCCCAACAAGCGGCTAGGGAAAAGGTTTGGTTTCAGTCGTGACGGCCTCTGCTCCGCACCGGTTCCAGGATGAGCGCCAAATCAGTTTTCCCTCCCTGTGAGCAAGACTGTTGGATTGTATGTGATCGAGGAGACATACAGATAAAATATAGGTACTAAAAAGGCTATATCATTTTTTGTTAATCTTGCCAACACAAGGCATTTCAATGAGGTAGCTATTCCGTAAAAAATAAACTGGAAAGGCTGTCGGGCTCGCGTGCGTCAAGCAGAGGATCTCAAACTAGCAGGAGAGTGAAACTAGGGAAAACATCCCAACGGGAAGAGTGAAGTCAGCCCGGTGCCTCGCTTGATTTCCCAGAGAATTTATGGAAGAGATTACATGACGTTTCCTGCGATATGGAGCTGGACTTGATGACCTAGGACATCCTTTCCACTCCTGGGCTCCAAAAACTAACGTTTTCCACCACTCTCCCAGCAGAGATGACCCTTGAGTAGCTCTCCAACAGCCTGCCTGTATAGATGTGTATGTGCACGCGTGTGCTTGCAGCTAGCCAAATACCCTGTTTTTTTCTTAATTTTGGGCACGGGCCAGCTGAATTTCTTGGTTGCGCATCCAGACCGTGGCCACGGCTGCCAAAAGGAGGATTATTTTGCTAAGTGCTGGTGTTCTGTTTGAATAGTAGGGCTGATGGAAGTCGCGGGGCCTCGCAGCGTATCTCCTCCTCAGTTTAACCCTCTGGAAGTGCTCGCAGCGATTCCAGGAGCCTGGTTATGGACTGTCAGGAGGCCTTGGCTGGCTGGAAGCCGTGTGTGGCATGAGCTGGTGGCACTGCAAATAGAAAAAAATGTTAAAATGGGTACGATGCCACGTGTTTTCTGACTGCACATGTTCCATCTCCCTCCGTTTGACATCACACTGAAAAATTTGTTACCTTTCCTAATTTTTCCAAGTTATAAATGTTTATTTGGGCTATCTGGAAAAAGCCGTGAGCATTTGAAGAGCCTAAACTCGTGCTGCTTACCTGCATTGCAGCTTGCATTTGCTCAAGGTGGGACTCCAGGTCCATGTAACTGACTTCTGCCTCCTGTTGCCCTACGGTATCTCCAGGATGCCCAAATCCAAGTTCTCTGGCCTCTGCCTTGGTCTGAAAATTGCCTAGTTGCTCTGCTATGGAGCAAAGCCTTGCACAAGAGCGACTCCACGCATGCTGCAAGGCACCCAGCTGGAGCCTGAATGAACAGCGATTAACTTTCATAGTTCCCTCCAAAATCAAGGAAACGCATGAATTTGGGCCTTTCTGTGTAGGAGATGTTCAAGTGGAACGTTTGTGTGCACTGTGTAGAGAAGCAGAGAGGAACTTTGCTACACTCGGATTAGAAAAGTTCCCCTCAAGCTTCTTTACAGTGTCACCTTCTTGACCCTCATTGACCACTGACTTCAATTTCTCCAGCAGTGTGGAAGGAAGAAAGCTGTTGTGGTGCCCACGAGCTGCCATTGCAGCTGCTGCTCCCTCCTCCACCCTGGAGGACCTGAGCTGATCCTAATTAATTGTGTTTTCCCTAACACTTTGCAATCCTCTTTAAGTCCTTTTGCAGCTTAGGCTTTGAGAAACCCCAGATTAGCGGATAGCCCCTTCTTAACTCCCATATGTGCTCTTGGGGTTTGGCAACAGGAACAAGGAACGCCAAGGTGAATCTTGCCATGGGGGTCTGGAATCTTTAGCATGGATGGGAATGCCGCCAAGCAAAGCAGGATGCATGAGGGACCATCAATTGTTCTTCTGGGCCAAACTGCTCGATCCTGCGATTAGCTCCTTTCCACAAAGGCCACATGTCAACATTTAGATGGTTGTTTACAATGACGTCTTCTGTCCCTCCAAATTTTTCTCCACACCTACGTAATGTCTGCTTTGAGAAAGAAAAATCTAATCTACCATGCTCTAAGTTCAGCGTGGATGTCATGAAAGCCCCTTTTCCCTAAGGGGCTTGGACTTGCTCTGAGTTGAAAGCCCCCAGGTGGGCAGCTGTTGAGGAGCAGCCCTCAGCGTGGGCTCTCCCTAATCTCCTGGGAATTTATTGGTGCTGGCATAATCCTGGGCCGTGCTTGTAACCTGGGCTGCTTTGACTCTACAGGTGTCCTGTTAAGTAGTCCCGCAGCTTTTGAGGGTGCAGAAGGTGTCAGAGAGGGAATTGCTGGCAGCAGTGCCATCCTATGGATAGGGCTTCTGTGGCAGATGGACTCCACATGAGGTATAGGTTAACAAAAAAAAAAGAAACAAAAAAAATCCAAATTTCTCCCAATTTCAGAACCAGCATGGGAGAATGCAGCTCGTCAGCTCTGTATTTGGCAAACAGATTTGGATGAGGCAAAGTGACCTTCTCTGCAGCCATCTAAGATGACCTCTGTAGACCAGACCTCTGTAGATCAGAAGATCCACTGCTTTGGAGGTCATGGCAATCTTCAGTGACACCATGTTTGCCAAAGAAGCTGTTCCTGGCTCATTAAACCCACTAAATCCCCAAGGGACTATCTGTCCCACTGATGGACAGGAAGAAGACATAGATCCTAACAGGGTTGGTGGCCCCAAGAGAAATTGGGACAATTGAAACGGAGTGAAGTTTCGTGTCCCAACATGTGTGGGTCTGATGTCAGCAGCGAGAAGATCAAAAGATGAAGCTAGGGTAGAAAAAGAAAATAAACACCCAGGCCTCATTCTTTCAGTGTATTCCAAACTAGTATTTGAAAGACTGAAATCAGGCCTTTGATATCCAAATTTAGTGAAATGCACGGTGAATTATTTTAGGAAATCGCAGTGAGATTTGGCTTATCTTGCCTGCTGACAGCATTTGTGGCGGTGTAGCTGAGCTGAGTTGGGAACAGTGACACGATACGTGTTGGTTTATCCTTTCAGCAGTGCTGCCGTGTTCCAGCCTCGCCGCGGAGCCCTGGCTGCCGGCGCCGTCTTCGTCCTGCACCCTCTCCTCTCCATTAGCTCTTGGGTTCTGTGGTACAGATGGCTGTTCTTCCGACAGTTAGCAACTTGTCCAAAGTTTGACCTTTTATTAATGAGGCCAGGGGCTTTTCCTTCTCTTGAGAGCCAGAAAACTAAACCTCGGAGAGCTCTTGTATTGAATTTGCATTTCCTAAATTAGGCTAAGACATCTTGCAGGTTCTCCCTGATGCTTAAAGGAATGATGTCGTGTAGATCATGTTTTAATGAAAGACATGTTGGCTAGGGCTTCTTTTTAATTTTTTTTTTTTATTTCTTATTTTTTTTTCCATTTGTTTCTGATGAAATGTCTTTGTTTCCTGCTAAATAACGCTGTTGTCGTGCTCAGATGAAGCGCTCTGTAGGTGTCCACAACACCGAAGGTGAATCCATGCTGCTAAATAACATAAATTAATCAACCAGCTTATTCTTGGCCATTAAAAGGGGGGAAGAACTGACGAACCTAATGAGCTTAATGCACATCTCTGTCGTTCTTCAAGCCTCCGCTTGCAAAGTCCTGGCATGTCATTGCCACCTGTTTGGTGGCCCCCCAATGCCAGCATGTGCTACAGGTTGTGCCACCCTCTCGCATTCCTGGTGGTGATTTGGGTTTTTATGGTGCTGGCTTTGCTTGCCATGCAAGCAAAACTTGTTTTTTTCCCTTTTTCCGTGGGAATTTATAGCAAATGTGTTTGCAACTGCCAAAACGTTACTCTCCAGCGTTAAGTCTTAGTTGCAATAGAGAAGTCGTGTAAGATAAGCTAAACTTAGCTACACGAGGTCTCGTCGCTGATGCGTCTCTGCGGATTGCCATATGGCACTCGTTTGCAACGTGGATTGGGAACCAAAGAACTGCAAGATGTCAAAGGCCTTTCGTTTTCTCGGCAAACTTAATCCTCACACCAGTGAATTTGCATATTTTTAGGAGCTAGGTGAATTTTTAGCAAATTAATTTAATGTATGCATACCTTAATGGAAATATATATATGATTTTTACTCTTGCAATAAAAAATGGCCATACATTGGTAGCCATACATCTTACTGTCTTCTAAAGGAAAAATCAGTAGAGTTCTTCAGCATAGTTGCAGTGAGATTTCTGGAGAATGTTCCCTCCTGTAGGTCCGTTAGCAGACAAATAGTCCAAAATTCCCTGGGTTTAATCTTAGAAGTTTTACCAGCTTCACTGTGTCAGCCTTTTCCACGTGGGAACTCTTTGCACTATTCAATTGCTAAAGCAAGATGGGAGACCTGCCGTGGTAGAACGAAACCCTGCTCATCTCGCGTGCTCGCTTTGATAAATGCAATGATTTCATTAAATGTGGAATTTTGGGAGTTTGCGCAGATCTTGCCTGCCTGAATTTCGTTGTTATGGCACTTTGTGTGATGCCAGAAACAAAGAAGGCAATTTCAAAATGTTGTGTGTGTGTGTGTATATATATTTATATTTATAGCTAAAACAGCTGCATATTTTTCTGTGTGTTAGAACTGTTTTGATTTATAGATCCATTTATGTACACACACAAAAATGTATTTAAGGAGCTATTTTCACTTGGTAGATTAATCAGCCTTAAAAAAGTAGTGGTTGTGCAGAAGATATTTCATATAAAATTATGTTTGTGAGGGCCTGAGAAGTCCAGACCTCCAGAATTTGACGTGTCTACTTGTGCTTATGGCTTAACCATGAGCCCATGTTGTCAACGTGGTGCCTATGAAAGAAGGGGCACCTGGCGTGGGCAGTTCTAGGGTGGTTCTTGCTCGTTTTTCCCTGCACAAGCCTTCCAATATCCATTTCTTTAGTTGAAGCACTGTTGTGGGCATTTAGCCGAGTGATTCCAAGTGCTGGGCAGACGGCCACATCTCTTCAGGAGTCACTGCTATGGTAGGCGTGCATGGAGGTGAGGAGGAACGCTCTGTCCAGACCTGGATTCATGAGAAAAGCCCAAACATGAGGCAAGAGGAGACGACCTTCCGGAAAATGGAGGTGTTGGGAGTTTTACAGTCATGCTTTTTCTCCTACAACTCCTTGGGTGGCCGGAGCCTGTAGATGTGTAACACTCGGAGCAGGAGGGGACGTTTTAGCGCCGTGTCACCTGCGTTGGAGAAGGATGTGGGCCCAGGATGTGTCATGGGTCTGGAACGGCCCATCCCGCATCTCGTGCCGCAAACAACGGTCTGGTCTGCGAAGGCCACGAAGGCAGGAAAAGCTCATTCCTTGCCCAGGAAATGGGAAAAGGAGCTTTTGTTCCCTTCAACAGCTCTATGGCCAAGGTCTTGACATCTGAAGGCACCTCTTATTTAGGGGACGGACTTGAGGCCTCCTTTGCAGCAGCAATGTTGTTGGTGACATGGGTTTTGGAAGTCCCACCTTGGGAGTTACCTTTTCATTGCTGATGCCTTCCCTGGCAAACTGTCTGGTTTGTGTTTTGTGCAGGTTGGAGGTTTGTGTTTGATACGGGTTCTTCGCCCTTCTTGCAGGGCATTATTTCTGTATAACCCCCTGCAGCACAAGTGATTCTTTGGCAGCCTTGTGGCTGGAGTGTGCTTGCCTAGACACCTTGTATTTATTGCAGAAGTAAGTTTCTGTAGACTGTCCTCATGTTATGGGTCTTTTTCTTCTAATCCTTCCTCCACTTTTTTCCCTCAAAAGAAAAGATAAATATTTTCTTGGAGCCGATGGAATAAATTGGAACCGGATGCAGGTTTCCCCCAAGATAACAGTTTGTTTGGATATAAATAATTTCAAATAATTTAAAAGAATAATAATTTAAAAGAATTTAAAAGAAATACTCAAAAGGACTTGTATTTAATAGAAAAAAAAGGCCATCTGTCCAGATATGTAAAACTGCGTGTTCTCCCTGATGTAGGTAAAGTCTTCCAGATGGCAGAATATTAATAGTTTCAGTAAAAATTAAAAGTCCTTCTGCAGAGTAGATCTAATTCTGTTTGCGTGGTTTTGATTACGTCCTGCATGCAAATAACCCATTTATCTTCTGAGATTTCTCCCTTCTCATCAGCCTTTTCTCTTTGTCTTGCAGACTTTATCCATTGGCGTACTGGATATTTTTGGCTTTGAAGATTATGAAAACAACAGTTTTGAACAATTCTGCATTAACTTTGCCAATGAGCGCTTGCAGCACTACTTTAACCAGCACATCTTCAAACTCGAGCAGGTAGGTCTGTAAACATTAAACATTTGCCGTGATGTTAAGGAGCATTAACATCGATTTATTTTGCTGGTGCTCTGCTAATGTGTGTGCCCTGTGAGTTATTCAAGTGTACTTTAATACTTTATTTTCTGATAAATGAGCACTGTGTACCAGTACGTATGAAAACTCTGTGTGGGTGTCACTTTGCAGCCTTAAAATCACAGGCTGTACCAGGAATGGCAAAAATAGAGACAATTTAATACGTAACAAATAATATAAAGGGGCATAATCTCTTCGCACTAGGGTAGGAAGAGGCATTTCCAAATATCACTTGTTATCTGATGACCCCAAGCAGGCGTGTTGAGGACTGTGAAAGTACACTTCGTTTCATGAATGAAGAGCACACAGTTGGGTTACATGGGAGCCAATCTGTCTTCTGTGGGGTCTGACAATATCTTAACAGCAGATGCCCTTGGAAGAACTAATTAAAAACACACTGAATATAATACAGATCTCAAAATAAATATATATATATATATATATGAAAAAATATATATTTTTCAATGTGAGTAGGCCTACATGTCCTCTCTTCAGGTGGAATTCTTCTTTGGCTGAGATTAGTGGAAATCCTCCTTATCACGAGTTTCAATAGACCTGGAGCTCAGTTGGGCATGCTCTACAGACTGAGTCCACGCGAGTGAGAGAATCAAACCCCCAAAAGTCTGGTAGTTCCATTATGTGTCTTCACAGTGTTAAAAGAACTCAAAAGTCAGATGAATCCAGTAAGAAGGTGATGTCTGCTCTTGCTTGACCTTGAGTAAGAGGAGGGAGAGAATAAACCTTGGCTTCTCTGGAGCATTTGGGGGATGATGCTTCCTAGGGACCCTTCTCTATCAGCACTCTTTTCCTTTAGCAAGAAGATGGATCAAAGCCACAGTTTTATTTTAATTCCATTCATTCCTAGGATATTCTGATACCTCCTGCTTCAGTAGATGCAGGAAGAAATCAATGGGAAAATCGGCTTGTACTTACATGCAAGCACCTCTGCTTTAATATTCCACCACCATAAAAAGGCAACCCAAAACACAGAGCAATATAGCTTTTTTTTTTCCTAGAACATTGCTGATAGGCTTTCCAGAAGGGAATTAGGACTTGGTTTGATGATTATGGACTTAGTGGCCATCATCCATAAGGGAATTCCTGTGCTCTGCCTGGGATTTCTTAGCAGCTCAGTGCTCCTCCCAAGCATGCGGTGAGTACAAAGCCCCCGCTTGCAGCAGCCTGGCAGAAGGATTGCATCCGTAATTCTCCTTGGACTGTCTTATAGCCAATGACCTAATTAGCTTTTGGCTATAAATCTGTCATGTGCATGAAGTCATTAAATCCATATTTTCTCTATGGATGGCACAGACGGATCCAAACGGCACGGTTCCCCATCTTGGTGCGAGAAGAAAATGATCCTCTGCAACCTGTGCTAGGGGAAACTATTCTTATGTGTGTTTTGCCTTCTAAAAATGGAAATAAAGACCATGCAGCTTCAGAAGTGATAGTTCTGGGGTGAGGAGAGATGTATTTTATATGGCTTTATATGTGACTTAGTGTTGCTTTCCTTGGAGATGCACTCTGTATGTAGAGGAGTGGAGCTGGTAAAAACCAAACTGGAGATATGTGTACAGGCTCTTGGACTTTAAATGTGGATTGTAGATGGGCTCTAAATTTGTTTTAGACCTTGACTGTCACTTGCAGGGGGTCCTTGATCTCTTCTGTGCTGAAAATCAAGTGACCTTCTTGATGGAGATTACCTGAGGGTGCTCCAAGCCGAGCATGCAGATATCAACTGCCTCCAGAGACTGGTTTCTCCTAGCTTTAAAGCATGCAGCGTTACCAAAATATTTGGGCCTTCCTGCTTCAAGAAAAGAAAAAGGACCGCTATAAGTAAATGGCAATGATTTTTCTCAAAATGATCACTGAATCTATGGGCACAAGTCCTCTATTTGGCAATGACATTGCCCTGACAGGCTTTTTACGTTATAGAAACCTGAACATTTACTGCAAAGTCATCTAGCCCAAGCATGGTATTATTTAACCTTATTTTCTTTTATTTCTTACACGATTTCTCATGAAATATAACAAAATGTGGTTTGTGATTTTTCTTCAACCCCTCCCAACCCTCCCAAAAAAAGCTTTGCTTAAGGACAACACTATTTCCAGCTGCTTGCAAAAGGACAACACCATTTCCAGCCGTTTGCAAGCAAGAGTTGGAGGTGCCTCAGGCAGCCCGTCTTGGGGCTGCCACCTCCTATAAATACAGCTGCTGTTGTGCCATGTACTGCAAATCCATCAGAGAGCCAGGCAGATTCCGAGATCTTTGCAATAGCAAACTGCTGCCTTGGAGCCAGCCATGTGGATAAGGAGAACACGTCCCTCCGCACACTGTTTATAGTAAAATAGGAGCAGAAGGCAGAAGGAAAAAAAAAGTAAATGCTGGAGTTCTGCTTTAAAGACAAGTATTAATGACTCTCTGCTATTTTTCTTTAAAACCAACTGTTCTGCATTAAAGTTAGCTGGTGATGATTCATGATCCATGGGACTACAGTTCACGGGCGCTGGAAGCGGTCGGGAGGGACGTACGCTAGCGGGACCACGAAGCTCCAGGCTCATAAATTCTCATCTACCCGGATTGCCCCCCATTGGGTTCAGGGTGATCCCGAGTTATTTATGTCCCAAAAGCCTGGTTTTGCCCAGGAATCACTGCCTTGGCTTGAGGACAGGAGACCCAAGTGCCTTTTTTTAGTGGGACACAGGCCAGACGCTGCGTGGTCTCTTATATCAGGCTGCCAAGACCCCAGTTTAAGGCAAGACCTGCCCATTTGCTGCTCTGTTCTATGCACGTGGGGTGATTCTTGGGTCCTCAAGCAACTGAGCATCCCTGTTGTCCTCTCCACGGGGGTCCTCCTCCACAAAGCAGGTAAGTGCAGCGCTGCTGTGCCCTTCAGATAGCGCTGAGGTGCTGCTACCATAGGAAGAAGAGTATTTCTGCCTGACAACGTGCATTTCGTTTTAGTTCTATTTCATTTTTTGCCAATTTATGTTATAACTGCAGGGCTCAAAATTAACCTTGGGAAACTTCCATTAAGGCCAAAACCATTCTAAGAGTTTTCCCTGAGATTCTTTGAATTAGAGGGACGGGAATGCTGATGTCTGGGTCTCCATGTATCTCGTGTAGCCCTGATGTTACACAGAGATGTTCTCCAAACTCTGTCCCGCCTCTCCCTCGTCTCCCACACCTCCAAGCTGGCTGTATGCAGCGCCTGCATCCTTGGTGATCGCCGCTACTTCGAAGGGATGTTGCATGTACGTGATGCTCTGTCACGGAAGGAAAAAAGGGATTTTCCTCTATTGCATGGAGCATCCTTTCCCTTCTCCATTTCCTCAGTCCGCTGAGTTCGGGGCCTATTTTATCGCCGCCAAAGACACAAGCAGAGCACGATACGCCGGCCGTGCAGCGCTGTAAGAGCTGGTTCAGGTTTCTGTTTGGGTTGGAGATGGGCTGGCGGGCGCTGTTTGGAAAACGCCGCAGTCAGCTGGGTCCCACATGACGCGCGGAGGACTAACACGCCGCACAAGCTATTGATTTGTTATCTGGCAGCGCGCCACGGCACATAATTCAGAGAAACAAAGAAGAATGCGTGCAGCTATTCAAGCATTATCTTCAGAGGAGGAAGGTTTCGGGCTGCGGGTTAGGAGGAAAATCTGTCGGCCGTTGTTATCGGCCCCGAAACGGTTTGCTTTGGCTCTCCTGCTCTGGGGGCTCTGCTGAGTGAAGGGGGATTCGAGGCGAGGATGGGGTCGCAGGAGGGCTCCCATGGCCCTTGGGCTGCTTCCAGGGGCTCGGAGCGGTGAATAGTTGCCTGGGAGGGACTGAAAGAAGCCCAAGAGACTGATGAAATCTGCATACGGGCCTTTTGAGGTGATGGCTCACCTCAAAAGGGTTCCTTTTGGGCACCCTCAAAAAGGGTTTTCAAGCCATTATTAGAAAACTGAGGTTTTTTTATGATTTTCCCTTTTTCATTTGAATCCCTAACTTTTGCTCCCACCTCAGTTCGGCGCAGTGCAACATCTGCAAAACCGCCGGGACCTTGACCTTCATGCAGCTCTCCTGGGTGTAGCCACCAGCGTGAAACTCTTATGATAAATACCCCCATCGGCGTTTGTGGGACGTGCTGAAGTCGTGTTTGGCATTTGGTCGAGCCCGCGGGTTATCCTGTGCCTCGTAACTGCAAGATGGAGACATGAATCCATCTTTTGTGCGGAGAGGGAGGTAGAGGTAGAACTTCTTTGGGTGTTGGTCAACCAAGAGGCCACTTTTTTTTAAGGAAAAACAAAATTGGGCAGAATTTGGGCAAAAAGACAATAAGTGGGTTGAAAGTCTTGGCTGTCCTTTATATCTTCAAGCTAGGTTAGGCAAAGACTTAAGAAATCTTTGGTTCTTCCAACTTGAAAGCGTTGGCAGCTGCTTGGGAACACCAACTTTTCTTAAAAGAAGGCAATGTAGACGCTTTGGTGGGTTTTCATCGTCAGGACCTCTGAAAGGAGCAGAAGGACCAAAGTAGAGGCTTGCTGTGGTGCAGCAACAGGATTTAAAGGGGGATTTTACAGGGGGAACATTGGACAACTCTTGTTTGAAGAGCTTGCTGTGAGGATGAGTGAATGGGCAAGGCCACGGGCCGGGAACAACAGACACCATCCGGTGGCGATTAAATATAGTGTCTTTTAGTTATTTGGGCTCTCTTTTCTCATTGCTCTGTAAGAACAACCGGGTGTTTGCCTCGTCTGGGCTTTGAGGAGGATCCCACAATGGGAATTCACTGATTTCTTTTTAATTTCTTTGTTTTTAAGCATGGAATTAGGTAGTTGCAGCATGAAGATTTCACATGTCTGATGCAGGAAGAGACACCTCGGTCCTGGGCTTGCTGGCATGTGAGGCTGCGGGTACCAGCAGCAGAGCTGGCTGCTGATAAACG